CTATACCGAAAATGCCCCTCCGGGCTTGCCGACTCGAAGCACTGCGTGAATGGCGTCTGGTTATCCCAATCCCAGCTCCCAAACACAGGAATGTGTGTCCTCCTGAAATTGTAATCCTGCACAAAAATAATGCATGAACTAATCAAGAACCAAGTCAAATTTTTTGTTAACAAAATGAAAACAATAAAAATTAAAAAATGAGAAATTTGCTTACAACATCCATATTGTTTGGCCTCAAGAAAGGCTTCAAGAATACTTGAGGTTGGCTTGTGATTTTGAAATTTAGAATGGGAAGATGTGTGTAGTTTTTCTCTGGCTTGTGTGGAAGGGAAGATTTAAAAGGGAATGTGTGTAAATGGGCTTCTTTAGCTTTCTCCTTTTTGCTAATAGGAAGAAGAAAAGAGTGTATGAGAGCACTATAGTGTGGGGTTGAAGTAAAATTGTTTTTTCTTTTTTAACCAAAAAATAAAATAAAATAATAATAATAAAATAAAAAAATTAAAGTATTATAAATAGAAAAGGGAAAACCATGCAAATTCTTGTATGAGGCGGTCTAATCGTTGGATGAATGGACTCCCATTTTTTTTTTTTTTGAATGCGTATTTATGTTATGCAATGACACTTTTCTTTATGTTATTTTTTAGAATACGCGTATTTCAATTTATAATGATACATGTATGTTGAAAAATATGAACTGTCTTACACAGTGTTGTTGTTCGAAATTGTACAACGATTTTAACTTGTAATCAAGATGTAAAAGGAAGAAATATAAGATTTATTAATACTCCCTCCTATTTTTTTTTTTTAAATGTCATTCTAGCTTTATCAACTATTTGTCAAATAAATGTCGTTTTAGATATTTTGTACATATTTTTCCATTATTACCCTTATTTAGCTAATAAATACATTACATCTTTCATATTCACTATTCACTTTTTCTCAAAACATTCATCTCTATCTTCATTAAATAAGGTTATTATTGACAAAAAAAATATTTTTAATTAATGTGCAACTTCTCAAAACGACATATATTAAAAATAGGAGGTAGTATGTGTTTTGGAGTACAAGAATTCGGTTTCAACATGAACCGAATTGATTTTGTTCGTGCGTAACGAGAAAATGTTCCAAATCCTCCTACACTAATAAATTATGCTATTTATAGTAGAATGTGCTTTGACTAGATATGATTGCATTTAATGCATAGCAGTTTTCTGAAGCGGTTGGCTGGTGAGCAGGGAACATCAATAATTACTTATTTGACACGTGGTCCAACTGGGATGAGACCTTGTTGTCACTTGCTTTGAAGTTTGGTCAGGTCGGACCTTAGTTTACGGTTTGAAACTTCAAGAAATCTTTGAGAAGTCAGTTGTTGAAGGATCTTATGAGAAGTCGATTATCTTTATGAGCCGAAGTCGGTTTAACATCTAGACCGAACCGGGTTGAATTAAGTTTGGCGTACAAGCGGCAATTTAATTAGTGAATGCTAATCATCACTTCAATTCCAGTAATTCAGGTCAGTTGTCAACACACAGTCTAACTTTCATAAGCCAACTAGGAAAATTCTCAATATTGTGATAATTGGAAGAGGAGAAAAAGAAGCAACATAAAGCAATCTCATGTGTGAGTGAGTGTGTACCTCTTTACCTTTAGCTATTATTGTGGTTAGAATATCTTTATATCCTTTTCCTTTCATCATAGCACTATAGCAAAAGGCTAATCACTGCCTTTTGTTTTGATAATATAATTAACTCCTTTAAGTAGTAATGTTTTTTGGTGGACTTGTGGTTGATCATTGACCTTGAAGGGAAGTTAATTCATCAATACAATTACAGTTTAGAGATTTTTTTGAGTGTAAATACTCAATGGACAAATTTAGTTCTTTGTTATGTTGTTGACTTGTTGGTAAAAGAAAATTTTTAATCACAAGTACATTCAAAATGCTATATGGCACATCAGATGAGTAGCTCATGTTTGAATTTATGCAACAAAACGATTATCTCGATTAAGCTCGTGAAAGCTCAATTTGTTTAATAAACTTAAATGAGTAGTTTCCCAAACGTGAAATTTGAGTTAGCAAATAAGTTTGATTTGATTATCTCATTTAAAAACCATAACAATTAAATGAGATTTTACGAAATGTTCATTTGAGCTCATTTTATAAACAAACTCGATTAGATGTTCGAGCTTGAATCATTTAAGTAAACGAATTATTCAAGGTGAACTTTTACAATTATATGAATACAATCGATTTGACTTTCTTCCTCGTGTCGTGGGTATGAAACTTAAAGATTTCCAATAAATCAACTACTAAAAGAACATAAAGGAAAAGAAGAAAGAACAAGAGAGGATAAAAAACATTGAAAATCTCAAAGTGAGCTTTTGAGTTAACCCTACATGCAACGAGGACAGTT